TTTTAAATGTGTATGTCGGCAACAATAATGGGTTCATTTATTATTTTTTATTTTTTTTTGTTTTTAACTATGTCTGCCCAATATACTGTTTCAGCATCGATATCGCAATGTGTGCATCCGCTTTATTCACATCGCATGATATGCAATGTTGAGTTGGGATTATAGTTGACCAGAATCCACAGGTCAAAACATATGGGATTTGTGGAGACTCTGCATTTGACCATTAAGAGAGTTTAAAGCACATTTTAATAGCACATAAAGAAGTTTGATAAAGATTAATTGTATTGAATCATTTATAAAATGAAGATTATGCAGTGTTATTTAACATTTTATTATTCACTTTCTGTACACAAATACTGCAAGAGAGTCTCCCCAAAAAAACCAAGAAGCACTGTTTGTTTCACTTTAATATGTGCTCTATTGGATTTATTTTAACTGTAGTTTACTATATGCATGTTATATATATATATATTATAATATTTCACTCCTTTACAAAATCATCCCAGTCAATATACTTTTTAAGTCATCTGGTGAAATAGTATCTAAATTGTAAAGTATGTGGCAAAGAGAAAAAGAAAAAAAAACAGTTTCTATTTTTTTTCAATATTGTGCAGCCTTATTTTTTTTGGTTTGTTCTATATATTCTATGAACATATTTTTGAGTTTGTTAAATTATGAAATCTTTGGAATTTTTCCTCATGCAGGTTTTTATTAGGATTGTTATCATCATAAGCACAGTTATCTGGCTTTATCCATGAACTCATGCAGAATGACTGCGGTGTACCTGCGGATGCTTAAGCACTAATTTCCTCCATCAATGGCCAATGACTTTCCCCCCACCCATCAGAACAATGGTAGAGATTTGAACGTCAGCAGGTTAAAAATAACCCAGTGTAAAAGTGGTTTGCTGTAAGAACATATCCTCCACCACCGGGAGACGCGGCTAATGGAACACATGCTAAAGCCGTCATGTTGGCATATTGGCGCTAATGGACTCGCTGTGTGCACTGGTCCCTTTTGTTTGAGTCTCCTGCAATCTCTCATGACATTCAGAGATTTTGCCTTCAACAAATCATTACACACCACCTGTGCACATCTGCAGTTTTCGTCCTGTAAAAATCGCTAATATTTAACAGAAGCAAACTAGCACATGGTGTACCTTTTGTGTTTTCTCTTTTCAAAGTGCTTAATCAGACCTAAATATTAAAAACGCAGTGTGCCTGGTTATGTGTGTGATTGTTCCTCTGTGTTTTCTTTGCGTTCGCTTGTTGCCGAATGGACTCATTATCTTCTATTAACCAGTGTGCGCTGCGAAATAGTCATGTCTGCATATTTGTTAGTCAGATTTGTGCCCATTAGATATTTATACACTGTTGTGTGAAAAAGTTGCACAGAACAATTTGTCTAAGCTTCCGTTTTGATAAGCACCACAGTGGATTTTCATTTGCTGGATAATGGATGTTGAGGAGATGCAATGGAGGAGTTTATTTTGGGGAAATCATCCACAACATGATGAGCACAAATAAGAGCTCAGAGGTTGATTTGACCTTCTATTCCTGAAAAATGCACCATAATAAATCAGTTTAACATTTATTTCTTGAAACGTTAACCACACAGCATTAACATCATTTCTTTTTTCAAAAAAAACTAAAATAAAAAAATTATAATAAACCGTATGAATGAACCATTTGTACTGATATGCAACACTGTCATTGTAAATGTTTATTGCTGCACAATTAATTGATGATAATAAAACACTTAGCCCATTTTTGTGCATTTTTAAGTACATTTTAACCTCATGTTATACAAACCCTTACAAGTGTAAGCTGACATATGCTTGCACATTTACTTGTTGTGCCCAAAATGTGCCTGTGAAGTTTCAGTACAAAATAACCCTCACATCATTCATTTTACCATGCAATAGATGCACATATTTAAATGGAAGCAAAAAGCTGTTGTTTTATGTGTGTCTCTTTAAATTTAAATGAGCTTCTGATCCCCACCCCCTTTTTCGAAGGGAGTTTTACACCCTCTGTCTTGGATATTCTAAAAAAACCTATGTTTGGTTTAACAACTGTGATGGGGTGAATTATTTTAGAACTCATCTGTTTCATTTTTATTAAGTTATATTAAATCTGCATAATTAAGGGTGTGGCCACTTGAGTGACAGCTTGGTCATATCACCTCAGCTGATTCCGGCTGATTAGCCAGTGAGTTTGGCATATACATTGTATTTTTGTTTTGTTTTATGTGGCTTTACACAGTCAATTACCTTTTGGAATTATTTCCTACAATTATCAGATGATATGGCATGCTATGCAGTGTTGCTGACTAAGTGACTTTGTCGCTATATTTAGCGACTTCAGATTAGCGGCAAATTTTCAAAAAGCAACTAGCAACAAATTTAGCAACTTTTTTGGGTGTTACTGAAGATTTTTATAGACTCAAGTGTCATACTGTAAAGTCCCTACTCTTCTCAATGTGCTGTGGGTGATGCCGTTGGCCCCTGTCAGTAATATGCAAATTGATGTATGACATAATCTAGCAACTTTTAGAGCTTAGCGCCCTCTCATTGGAAATAGTTGGCAACAGTGATGCTGTGTGCACTTAATTGTGCTCACAAGCCATTTAAGTTGTCTCTATTTCCCATGTGAGTGAAATTAAATACATATTATATATGTATACATATTATTATATATATATGTATTTGTGTTATTTAAGGTAGTTTATCATTTATATTTCTTTAGACCTGTAATGCACTCCAGAGTCTGACAGATTGATTAGCTGTAGGCTATAAAACAATCATCTGAAACGTTGTCATGCAGTGTTATTCCTAGATTTCATAAATTGCCTTGCATTTACTAATACAGAATATATTTGAAGTGTTTTGGCAGTAATTTGCATTTTCCACCTGTAGAAATAAAACTACATAAGAACAATGTTTACTGGCTCAATGTATTACTGCAGTGTTTTTAAAAGACTAAACACTTTTTTGATATAGTACACAACCAAGCACATGTGGTCAGAACAAAAACGAGAAATGAAGTATTAAGCGTTTCTCTCAAAGAAAAGCCCGTCTAAAGAAATTGCTAGCAGGCATCTGTAGCTCCGCCTCTTTTCCCTTGTTTGGTCACCCCGTTCGGTGCCATGACCTGTATACAAAATGGCGATGGTTGGCCACAACTACTTGAAGCTTCATTTGTGCTCTTCAGAAACCTATGGGTGAGGTCACGGATACCGCATCCATATCTTTTACAGTCTATGGTTGTACTATGCATCATACTGATGTGACATTATTTATGTAATTTATTATCTACATGTTTTCAGACACTGCCTCTGAGCTGTGGATTATTATAAAGTAGTAGGTCAATCTTTTTTATCTTTATGGGCTGGATGTTTACACACAAAACTATTCAATCACCATGTTAAAAAAGGGGTATTTCGGGTTTTGCACACAAAATGCACAAAAGCACAAAGAAAGTGCCATATTTATAGATATTCCAATTATTTTGACTTGTGTGACCCTTGACCACAAAACCCGACATAAGGGTCAATTTTTGGAAATTTGATTCATAAATCATCTGAAATCTGAATAAATAAGCTTTCCATTATTGTATACATTGTAAAGACTGGACAATGTTAGGCTGATAAATTCTGTAATCTGAGGTTTTCATCTAAATATTGATGAAATCGCCTTGTCTAAATGAAATTCTTAGCAATGCACACTACTGATTAAAAATCAAGGTTTCACATATTTGCTGTAGGAAATTCATTCATTCATTTTCTTTTCGGCTTAGTCCCTTTATTAATCCGAGGTCGCCACAGCGGAATGAACCGCCAACTTATCCAGCAAGTTTTTATGCAGCGGATGCCCTTCCAGCCGCAACCCATCTCTGGGAAATATCCACACAAACATTCACACACACACTCATAAACTACGGACAATTTAGCAAACCCAATTCACCTGTACCGCATGTCTTTGGACTGTGGGGGAAACCGGAGCACCCGGAGGAAACACACGCAAAGGCACAGAACTCTACACAGAAACGCCAACTGAGCCGAGGTTCGAACCAGCGACCCAGCGAACATCTTGTTGTGAGGCGACAGCAGCACCTACTGCGCCACTGTATCACCCCTGTAGGAAATTTATTATCTTAAATAAAGATTTAAATCTTTTATTTTTGGGCATTACCAAAAACATACAAATGTAACATAAGATCACATATTATAATATAAAATAAAATTCAGGCTGAAATTTTAAAGAAAATATCTAAGATGTTTTTTGTGCCATGCTGTTTCAGGTTTTACAATCATACGTGGCCAATACATAATACATTAAATTTAAAATAATAATACTCTCCTTTATTATCTCCATTCATGTTTTCAGACAGTTATAAAGAAGTAGGTTGATCTTTTTTATCACTACAAGCTTGTTATTTACACACATAACTATTCAAACACCATGTAAAAACAGCATCTTGCATGATAATAGGCCTTTCATTATGATTATGAAAGTTTAATCACCCATTCAAAGTCAAGGTCTACATCTCTGATTGGTCAGATGGAGCATTCTATTGTGACTGGTCTACCACAATGTGTGTTGAAAACTAAACCCCAGGCTTTTTGCGCATGCATACCCAGGTCTACATTTCTGGGTACAGCTAAATACTTGACCGGAGGTACGTCTGCTCGCAAATTTTGTTTTCGCAAATCTGCCAGAAGCAAATGTGTATGCTTTTTGATGATCTCAAATTTATCTCGCGTGTCCTCTTCTTGTGTAAATCCACCAGAGAGAGCAATATACACTTCAGCCGACTAGGCCAGCTTGCTGTTGACTGAGTGACTGACCTACTGGTCCACCCACCCCCTAAACTTAACCAATGTTTTCAAAAGCAATTTAGAAAAAAGACAAGCCGTGACCGCATGATTTCACCACGTTTTCAGCCTGTTGTTTGTTTATTTTTTAAATTTATATTGCTTTTGTTTTATCTGGTTTCTAGAACTGTTCTTCGCTGGACTCGAACTTTGCTCCACATCCCAAGTCAATCCCTGTACATGACGAGCCAGTGGGCAAACTGATAACACCGGAAAATCTGTCCACACGGAGGTAAGTGGTTTACAGTAACACAAAAAGGAACAGAAGCCTTCAGCAACGTCATACTGCCCTATAGTGTTCGTTTTACAGACTAAATGGAGCCACACGTACCTCTGGGTACATATTTTGTAGTCTCTAGAAATGTGAACAGGGATACGTATCCACAACGAGCCTGTGTTGCAATATTCATTTCCATTAATCATTACCAGAATAATGGTTGAGATTTAGATAACTTTTCCACATTTTAGCCTCAGTTTTCATCCTTGGGAAAAGCATGCCGAAAACAGAAGCATCTTGACCAACTGAACTCTTCCAGGCCTAGTTTGAGGGTCAAATGTTTTCTCATAGTATAGCATTGTGCTAATTTCTTCAAAAACTGCATAGTTTTTGTGTGACAGAATCATTTCTTTGTTTTGGGAGACAGCAACTTCATTTCTCATGCACTTTGATCTTTTAAACTTTGCAGACCCTTTGTTTGATTATGCACTACATGAAAGGTTAAAGCACAATAGGACATTTAAACAGAAAGTAGTGTGGAATATTAGGCGAGTATTCTGTCCTTTTGTCAGGGAAGGCGATACGGCTCAGCGGTTTCTGAGAGACGACATGTCAAGCTGTTTTTATAATTGCTTCAAAAGACTCACTTGCCCTGCTCTTGGAAGGAACGGTTCACTCCAAAATGGACATTTTGTCATCATTTACTCAACCTCTCTGTCATTCTAAACTTCATATTATTTTCTTTCTTCCATGAAGCAGAAAAAGAGGGCAGAAGGTTTGTTCTGTTCTCTATAAATAAAGTGGCTGTTGATTTTATACTGTTGAACTACAAAATGGACAAAAGCACAAAGAAAAGTGGCATACTTTATATGAATTGCTATATTCCAAGTATCTTGACACAATGGGCTCTATTTTAACGATCTAGGCGCAGAGTAGTGAATGTCCGAATCCACTTTTGCTTTTTTAAGGATGGGAAAATACAGTCTGCGCATGATCTAACAGGGTTGTGCTCATTCTCTTAATGAGTTATGGGTGTGTTTTGAGCATAATTTGCATTAAACCAATCAGAGCGTCATCTCCCATTCCCTTTAAGAGTCAGTTGCATCACGTCATGGAGCATTCGCTATTTACATGCTGGAATTTGTAATTGGAAAAACTGAACGCGTCACTAGTCAGAAAACAGTTAAACAAACCATCTGTGCGAGGAAAAACAACAAGCCTCCATTCGACCTCTTTACTTTCTTTTTACTTTTACTTTCTCCTTTATTTTCATGGATTAGGAAACGGTGTTATACACACTCCACTGAAGAAATCCATTAGCCTACATATTTATTTTAATTTGTTAAGCACAATGATTTGTTTTAAATCTATTTCTTAATTTAGTTCTAATTTCTAGCAAACGAATAAATGAACAATAATAACAAAGTGTGGTAAAAAACTGAGTTATATCCAAACACATTTTTAAGAGTGTATTTTTGGGTAAAGCCAAATTGCCATTTAATATGAATTAATTTGAAAAATCTAAAATTGTTTAGTACTAGGATTTACATCCACACGTGTCTATTGTAATACATTATTACAAATAACAGAGTACTTGAAAACTAGGATAAAAAGGGCAAGACTGAGTGAACTTTGCATTTGGTTTAATTTTCTATCAAAACGATTAATAAATCATGCTTCTGGGCTTCATTGTGACATAATGATAACTAAAACATTTTCATTTTCAAGTGGACTTTTTATGTAGCAGTCTGACCATGTAAAGCCTGAGTCAGTCTGAAGCTTTAGTCTGGCCTGATAATGATGTTTTGAATAAGGAGAGACAGCAGAGAGGTCGGTATGGAAAGTTTAGCAGATGTTGACTAGTTTCACTGCTTGTTACAGCTCATTCAGGCTGACAAGCCAGTGCATGTTTTTTTTTTTTATCTAATCTTTGCCTTTCACCGTGTCTGGTGTGTACTGTATGTGCGCATACACACATGCATGCACACTCTATGAAGCATGCAGAACATACCAACCCGCTGTGACAGTCTTTATATGTTACACTTCATTTTTTCTTTTTATATGAGATCTTAAGTGTAATAATGTTTGCTTTAAAATAAGAGGAATAAAAAATAGGTAGATGTGCTGACTGGCCACTTTAGGTGCAATTTAACTGTTCATTAATGCAGATATCTAATCAACCAATCACATGGCAACAACTAATGCATTTTTAGACATGGTCAAGACTATCTCCAGAAGTTATCTCCAGAGCATCAGTATCAGTAGTTTTTTATTTATTTTTTGCTTATGTACGACAAAAACAAGCAAATGACTGTGTTGTATGGGTCATTCAAAATTATTTCAATAATTTAACCCTCCTCCCTCTCTTCCCCCGTTCCTCAGCGTTTTGGTACAGTCTGTAACACCCCCGGGTCACCAACTTTGATAGTATCCAATCACAGCAGTCGCCCAAAACCCAGACTGTACAGTTATTAATGTCATAATACAGTTTCTAACCTGTCTGAGGGCCTGAACACAACCATGCTTTTTTTCATTCAGAAGACTATTACTGAAAGCACAGAACATCAATCTTACTATATTCCAAAGGCCTCAACAGTCACCAGATCTCACTCCAATAGAGCGCATTTGGGATGTGATGAATGGAGATTCTTATCATGGACGCGCATCTTGTTGAATGTATACCACACCGGGCTGCCTCCTTTACTGATAACTAAACTAGTGTAATACTTCACTCTACAACTACACTATACTTTATTATCAGATTCAGCCTGACCATTTCCCCAGATTCTGCTACGGTGAGCATTCAATGAGGGATTATAAGTAAGGAAGCAATGGCCAATTGGATTCTGTACATTTTTCAGCATTTCCCAGCACTGGATGTCCATCCTGCTCTTTATATAAGATAAACTGGAGGCGAAACTGCCATCTGGGAAGCTTCTAGAAGGACTGTCGCATCTGTCAGTCTCCTGTGCTGACGGTATTTCTTGTGACAGGACGAGGAAACTGTAATCTATTCCTCTTGGAGCGCTAGTGGTGATTTGTAATGTTTCTATAATTCATTTCTTTCCCCTAAAATGCAGAGTATGTGATTTTATTCGGGATGAATTATACATGTGCAGTATTCTCCCGCTGCGTCTCAGGCTTGAGAAGAAAAGATGGCTTTCGGTTTTCTTCAGCTAAACTCTCTACAATGGCTCTTTAGCCCAGAATGGAAACAATCGCTGTGCATTTAAAAGACTAGCTGAGTGAATATTAGGACATGTGTTACTTTATGAGTTTCAGACAGATGTTTTATATTAGTTGTTGCTGTTTTTTTTTTAGTCTTGTTTTTTAAAAAGTGCTTTTGGTGCAAAGGAAGGGTCTCTCAATATTTACAGATTTCCTGTGAAAAGTAGTGCCCTTTAAATCTCAAAATATGCACAAAAATAATGAAAAAATGTAAATAAAAATCTTACACATACCTTAGGAATGGTATTACAGAAAATTTTGGCAGTTTTAAAACCTTGACTTTTCCAAACTGCGGTATACCTTGAAAACGGTTATCGCCCCATGCCTAATTAGCAATGGGTCATAAATAACAGTGATACTTTCGTCCCCACAGGAACTCTTGTCATTTAAACCAGATTTAGTTTTAAACTGAAAAACTCAGACATTTCAAACTCAAGGATGTGTTATTGCACTTAATAACCTGTAGATTGATAATTAGTGTGGCACATGAAAAGAGAAACACAACTTGTAATAGCACCACTACAATAATTTACTTTCTGCACTTAAAAGCTGAAATTTGGAGCCAACTGCGGGACGCTGTCGCAAAATCACATGTTATTTGGCAGCTCCATCAACGGTTGCATGCTGAATGTGCTGTTACAGCCTGGAAATCAAATGTTGTGAGGGCTCAGAGAAAATTGATTTGTTATTTTGTCCCACGTTACTTTCGTCCCCGCTCTCCCCTACTCTATCTATTTGAGTTCAAAAATAAATGTAAAAATAAATTCTGTACATTTTTTTTTGCTCAGCAGTTTCTGTATTGTGTCTTGTTCTTTAATATGATAATAATAGTAATAATAATAATAATAATAATAATAATAATAGTAATAATAATAATAATAATAATAATAATAATTGTTTTCATATCTTTGTATGTATCTTTGTAAAAAAAAATCTTGCAGTTCTCTGTTGTCTAACTAACACTTCTAAACACATAATGTACAACTCGTTTATAGCTTCTCTCTCAAAACAACACCCTCTCCAAATATCATGAGTCTTAGTCCTCCTTGCTGGCCTTTTTCACACACTCTCTGCTGCATACAAGGCTCTTTTGTCAGTTTGTTTTCTGTTCCATGTTTACAGATTTCAGAGAGCTATTAGATGTTTCGAGCTGTTAGTCTAACGTAAAACCATTACCTCAGCTACCATCACGCACAGCCTGAGGTTAACCAATATGGCCCAAACCCAAGCACTGTTTACATCAATCTCTGGCTTGAGAGCTAAACTTATCCTCCTCGATCCATTGATTTTAACCTCAGATACTTTTCAAATATTTGTATAACCATCACTGCCGTTTTATAGTCGCTAAGTAGAGTGAAGGCAGAGCGAGAGGTGTATAAAACACCTCTGACTGCCATGTTTTTTTTCAGTATCCACCGGTGGCGAAGACCTGGTGTTTTTGGTATCCTTGACTGTCTCGTGTTTCCCTCCGGTGGGTTTTATTCGCCACATGCATGTCGCTTTAGTGCTACTGATGTGTTTTGTGGTAGTCGGTTGATTCACACATCACACAAACAGGTCTCTGCTCGATGTCTGTTTGAGTTATAATTATCGAGATATCTAAATTTCATAGGCTTGAGGGAAATAAAAGTGTATTTGTTGGTTTATTTCTTCTTGAAGTACGAGCCTTGATCTCCTTTTGAAGACCACACACAGTGACTCTGTCTACTTACAGTTGCAAATAAGAACCAGAGTTAAAATGCTTATGTTATGTATTTTTCTAAATATTTTCTGCTTGTTATACATTT